GCAGCGAACATGTCCCAGTTGTATCTCTGTATGGGTCGGCCTTCCAGCTGCCTGCGAATTTCGAGCGCGATCCGACGCTGCACACCTCGGGCCATGTCGTGGACCAATTGCTCAGGGACAACTGCGACAAACCTGCCCGGCATGCCTCGCGCGATTCCTACTGCATCCTCGTCTGCTCGTACCAGGTCGCCCGGGGAGGGTCTGCATGTGCTAACAATGACCTCGGCAGGCTCTGGGAAGTGGGTAGGTCTGGCTGGACCAGGGAGTGGGTTAAGAGAGGCGGTGGTGCGTCTGGGGAGAGGTTGCTGGACGGGCACGTTGACCTGCAATCCCATGGAGGCGGGGGACGGGGTCACCGCGGGAGTGGAGTCCAGGCGCGCGACGTGGATTGTGCCAGCGGCCAGCTGGAGCTTCAACCTGGCTTGTGGTATGTTTGCGCCTCTTGTGGCCGCTCTGATGTCTGCATCGGCGGGGAGGAGTATCGTCACCCAGGTGGGAACCGTGGTGAAGAGGAATCCTGCCTCGCCGCTAGTGGTAAGCTCTACTGCTCCCCCAGCAGCCACTGCCGCTAGGAGGTACTCCCCTGGCTGAAGAACAGTCTCGTAGTCCCGTAAGCCTTCTCCGAAGTACTCGCTGGGTAGCGCGTTAAGAGCGTTCCTTCTCATGGCCCTGGCATTGTCTCGTAGCCAGTCTCCTGTGAGGGCAGGTGGGGCGGCCCTGGTGTTGGCTGGGTGCGCCGCTCCATTCGGGCCGGCAGGTAGCGGCCAGAGTCGAGTTAATATCTGAGCGTTCGCTGAGCCCACTGCCGCCGAGTAGAGTCGAAGAGTGCTGTGCCCGGGGAGCCAAGCATTCGGGCGCATACTGCGTAGGTGCAGTTCTCCCAGTTGGGCGCCGTGCCTATCCATAGTGATGATTCGAGGATTTGGGGCTGTATGGCACGCCTGGGAGCTTGTCGGACGGAGGATCTGGCCAGCGCGTCCACGTGCTCCTGCTGTTCTCTGGAGACGGCGGCAGCTCTGTGCATGGGATCCCTGCTCGGTGTCGCAGGGAAGATCCTGATCGTTTGGGCGCCGACCACGATACAGCTGGTGCCGACAAAGGCCGCCGCCATGGCGTCCGCGGCCGCCAGGCGCATGCGGACTTGCGTCATGCACCTATAGTCCGAGACGTCGGGGAACCAGGCATACACGGTGGAGACTTGTTCGACCGTGTCGGGCCCGGTGGTGGCCTCTACGGCTTGCATGACGTCAGCAGGCCGTGTTTGTCCCATGTCAGCCAGGTTCCATCGCAGGTGGAAGCCGCCCTCGGGGTCGGAGAGGCGTGCAAAGGAGGGTCCCCCGTCCCAGGGTCCTTCCAGGAGGATTCGGCGCGGTCCCAGGGCTGGCGTGGAGGATTCTTCTCCAAATATACGCGGGGGCTCGTCGCGAAGGTGCCTTAGGACAGGGGCGGCGATCCTTTCAAGAGTAGCAAGGAGAAGCAGCCCTGTTCCACAGATCCCTACTCTGTGCCCCATGGCCCCAGCTGTCGCAGAAGCTATGGCACGCGCCAGGCACGCTGCTCTAGGGGGGACTGGGATGTGCACTGAGTCGCTCGTCTCGTGGGCTCTCCAAATGCACGCGGTGGAGTGGGCCAGCGTGGTAATTTGCGCTGCTGCCTGCAGGTTGTCCAGGGGAGCACGGAGGCCGTCGTTTCCGATCATGGGTCTCTCTGTCCGACAGCGAAGTACATGATGGAAGAGCATCTCGAGCCCTTGGTACCTTAGCAGCTCGCCCCGAGGAAGCTGCACTCTCGTGGTGACCCATTCGGCTGTAAGTCTACCGTTGCTGGATTGTCTCAGCTCCTCCTTCCACCTGATGATCTGCGCGACGACGCCGTCGTTGCCGCTCTCAGGGGTGAGAACGTGGAGAGCGTCGGAGGTGTCTCCAGATCTCCCTCCCCAGTGCACGACTATAGACGGGGGGAGAATCGTGCGAAGTGCCCTGCCTGCTATGTCGAACTGTGCCGCGAACAGTTGCTGCATCGGCGGGCTGGGTTTGCCCGTTCGATAGGGGTAGCCAATCGGGACGAGGTGTGTGATCTTGCTGGTCGCTCTGAACCCCCACTGTGCGTTCGCCAGGGTCGCAAGCTCAATAGGGTCCAGCCCTCCAGGGGATGGCACTCCCTCGGTGGCCAGGGAAAGGACACAGCACGGACCTCCCGCTGAAGAGGCTGCCGCCAATGCGGCGTCCATCTGTGAGGCTTGTGCATCTACCATGAAGATCGTTGGGGCGGAGGTCCCAGGGGGCCTGGCCTCTGCGCTCCGTGACCAGGGCTTTGATCTGCTCCCACGCATCAGGGCCTGCGAGGGCAAAGGTGACCCCAGTTTCATCGGCGACTCGGTCACCAACGCATGTCGTTCTGGAGACCACCAGATCGGCTCCAATGTCTCGCACTGCCGTGATCAGTAGGCTCACGGGGAACCGCAGCTGCCCTCTCTTCCTGAGCTCGTCCTCGGGAGGATTCCGTCCGAGAAGCAGGGCCCATCTTCCAAATGTGATCCGCGGAGTTTGTCGTATCCTGTCAGCCCTGCTGGTGGGACCGGGAGGTCCTGCTGGTGGTGAAGATCCAGGGCTTTGCGGGCTGTCCTGCGTATCGTCATGGTCCGGGCCGGCTCCGCCCTCGGGTGGCCTCCCATCCACATCCATTGGGGCTTGCTCCGTCTCCTGTGCGGTCCTCCTCTCGCTCACATGCTCGTGGATCCTGCGCATGTCGGCAAGCGTGACATACGTGTGGGGCCGTCGAATTGCCAGCGTTTGTGCTCTAAGGCAGTCAAGGTCTGGGGCCACCTGCCTGACAGCTTCGGCTAGCTCGTGTAGGCCCAGGAACGGCTGTAGCGGGGCTAGGGCACCGTCCCGTAGTTGCAGTAGGTCTGGAGACACCGCAACAACAGCGGCGTCGGCGTCACAGGCTCGTCCGGGCAGTCTTACGATGATACTACCCCTGTCGTTCGAACGGCAGCTGGGGCAGTTTACTGGGAAGCATCTTCCGTAGGTATCGGCCTGGGTCGGCTGGCTCACTCCCCACTGACTCAGACACTCACCATGGAACAAATGGCCGCATAGCATAAGGACTTCCACGGTGCCCAGAATGTTCTCGCTGCAGATCATGCATAAGGGAGTGCCTTCGCCGAGATCCCAGGAGGGGACCTCCACGGCATCCATGTTTTCTGAGGGGAGTCTGGCGTTGTCTCCAGGGGGCTGGCCGATCCGGGCAAGGCCCTCTCCCAGGCTCTCGATGAGGGCTCTGGCGGAGACGCTCGCCTCAAGATGCGTCAGACAGGCCTCCTCGCCTAGGTGACTGATGAGGGCCTGTATTTGCACGCTACTGAGTTCGGAGTATGGCGTCAGATTGGCCCCTGGTGCCTCTCTGTTGAGGCAGGTGACCACGTCTTCCGGTGTGTGCATTTCAGCTCTCGTCATCCACCGATAGATTACATCGTAGGGCCGGGAGTCCAACACTCGCACCGTCAGTACTGGCCTCAGGAGGGGGAAGTAATGTGGGGCCAGGCAGAGCCACAGGGCTTTAGAGATCCAGGAGCCTGGTTGCGCATTGGCTCTGTGGTCTAGCAGCATGCTCTGTGCGAGGCACTGCGCCTGATCGCCGTTGACGGAAGTCCTTCCTTCGGGCGCGGGCATGGTGCCCCTGCCTGCGCCTTCCTCATCTCGTTGCCTGGCGTCTAGCGAGCGGATGAGCCTGTCCAGGTGCTCCTGTCTCGTGCTGCCTGGTGGTAGTCTACCCTGGGGGAGAGCACCTTGCGCCCGATTGAGCAGTTGTCGTATGTCTGCGTGCCAGGGAGTGGTCGTGCTCGCAGCTTCCACCGCCGCGTCCTCTGCTCCACGCTGCGCCCTTCCTACATGCGTCGGTCCTTGGTTCCTCAGATTCGTTCTCTGTTCGTCCCTGGCTTGCTCCGCTCGCGCTCTTGCTCCCGCTTCGACTGCCTGCCGGTCCCCTGACAAGATGGCGGACTGGAGGGAGTGACTCGCGTCTAGGTGCTCCATCATCCACTCCTGAAGCCGCGGCGCGATATAACTGCCCGCTTCGGGCGCATCAAGTGTGGATCCAGTGGCCCTGGAGGATGTGTCTGCCTCTGCAGCAAGGACCACCTGGGCGTCCCTGTACGACAGGACGCCTCGCGCTCTCCACCATGTGGCTGCCCGATCGATGATGTTAGTATTGATATTGATGGACCTAAACGCCTGCTCGAGAACGATGCGACCCCTGCTCGTGGCAGTGCCCCAGATGAACGGAACCAAGATCCGGCTCCACTGCGTGCCTGGGGTGACGGTGTTACTGGCCACCATTCTCCTGATTCGGCGGACCTCGTCGACAAAAGCTCCTCGCTGGGCAAGTTCAGCGGGGGAGAGGCCTTGCATGGGATCAGGGGGAGGCCTATATTGGGCTGTTCCTCTGCTTCCATCTTCGCTACTAGAGCTTCTTCCGCCATCCCTGGAGTCGTCCACGTCCATGGGGGCGCCTCCGCCACTGGGTCGAACCGTATGCGCGTACTCTCGAGCACAGCTGTCTGCACCTAAGCGTCGGATGACGGCATCGGTAACGAGGTTTCCCAGGGGGGGTCCTTGTCCCATTTGGGCACGTAGCAGGCGCCATTCGGTGCGGGCTGCGGCCTGTAGCGCACCTCTCATAACCTCAGCTGCCTGAGCGTGGGGGCTGTCTCTGGCGTGCCACCAGCGCCTACTCAGGTCTACGTCATTTCGGGTATCGCTTATTGCCTGGTCGAGGTAGTCGCCGCCAATGGTGTTGTTTAGCCAGCTCAGATCATCCAGGTCCACCACTGTGTTCGGTCCTATCGCGATCATCGTGGTTGGCCTGTTCATTGGGGGACCCCTCCAGTGCGGTGGTGGGTGCGCGATAGAATCTTCGCGATAGAGCTGCGGTGGGAACCAACCGCCGAGTCGTCCATCGGGGCACGTCCTAAGGACTCGTCGTACTCTTAAGCAGGCCTCAAGGGCCCAGGACTCTGGCGCGGAGCAAAGCAGGGCGAGGGTGGCCACTGCTGGGCGCAGTTGCATCTCATCTCCAAGGTCTGCTCTGTCGATGAAGCCGCAGTTGGCCCATGTGCCGGTTTGGGACGCCATGTGCCTCCAGGCTCCCAGAAGCTCACCCACGAGCCAGGTCGGGGTAAAATCCGTGGGGCCCGGCTGAGCTGGAAAGTAGAGGTGCTCTGCGATTGGGGCGTATCGCATGCCTGCCCTGACCATCTGAAGTTGCAGGGAGCTATCAAGGAGGTCGAGGGCGTGCCTGTTGAGTGGCTGGCCCGTTTCCGCGCTGGGGTGAACCTGGTGGGGGTCGCCCGACTGCTGCTCGCCTCCGCTGTAGCTTCACGGGTTGGCCAACCTCAGGCAGGTGATGCAGCGTCGGCCCGCCGGGTCTCGAAGCATCCACGATCCGCAGAAGTCGCACCGTTGAGTCGGGCAAAAGAAGTCCCGTAGCAGCAGGCGGTGCGCCGTGGTGGACCAGGGCCACGCGTTGTCATTTCTGTCGCCACCTTGGATCGGTACCCCGGGGATGCCGGTTGTGCTGGCCGTCACTCCTGTTAGAGCTGGCTCTGCCCATGGTACGGGGCCTCTACCTGATTGTCGTCTCGAGTGTGCGTCGTCGCCAACCCGTTCGAGATTGCCCCTCCTGGTGGCCCACTGTCTGATGTCCCCGTGGTCCGGAAAATGAACTATGTTTTGTCTGCGCTCGTGAATTAGGACTCTGTACGCGTAAGCTCTGGTCTCGTCGTCCATGGGGTCTTGGGCGCCGTCTGGCCGGTCGGGGCCGCTGCTGTGCAGTGGCACAGCATCACGGGGAGGCCTGGTGGGCGAGAGCATGTTGCTCGTGTCGTATCCATTCGGAGGCTCCATCCCGATGTCGCAATGGTGCGCTGCGGTAGTCATGACGGCGTACTCGAGACGTGCTAGTTGCATTTCCACCACGGAGGGGTCGTCCGCGCCCAGTCTTTCCATCCTTACAAAGGGGTCGTGAGTGACACTCGCGAAGCGGAAGGTTAGCACCTGCGTCGGATCAGGTTGAGCACCCCCTAAGCGTCCTTCGTGGTCCCCGCCTGTGACTGGCCAGACCAGCCAGGAGAGGTCCATGATGGCGGGGGCTGGTGCCGAGGTGGCTCGCTGCGATCCGAACCCAAGGAGGAGAGCGTCGTTTGGGACCGCTCGCAGGGGGCTGCCTTCCCGTATGCCAGGATGACCAGGGCGATGCCCCCTCCACGCGTGGTGGGTGAGGAGCTGCAGGTTACTGGTTTGGTCTGCGGTTCTAGGTGCCCCTCGGCCGGGGATTTCACGCCAGGGGCCGTCGATGCGTACTAGGTGGCGACGGAGGGCATTCATGGTGCCTCCCCTGCCTGTGACCCTAGGGTCAGCGACGCGTGGCCCACACATGGGTCCATCAGCCTCTCGACTGACTGCCCAGACTGCGTTCGTGTGTCCGGTGGCGTCCATCCATCGAGCACGCATGTCGGTTGCATACTGCCCCCTCTCTCTATGGGCCTGGCTGGTGTCATCCTCAGCGTCAGTGGGGGCGTCCTGGCTAGCCATCCAAAGTTCCTCCTCCAGGGCTAGGTCTGGAGAAGGGAAGGGGAGTGGGATGGGCGTACTGGGCGTCCTGGGAGCCGCGCGCCTCAACACGAACGGAGAACCGTTGGCAGTCCTGATGAGGGGCCCACGGCCCACCCCTTGGGACGGGTCTTCGCGGCCATGGCCACTGCCGCCCGGCATGGCGTCTGCATGCTCCAACCCAGGGGGGGGGCCAGGAGAGGAGTGGATGGGGCGGGGGCGGGTAGGCGAGGAGGGGGAGACGCAGGGTGGTTCAGCGGCGACGATCGGGGGTCCGATGCGATCGATCAGATCGACCAAGTAGCCCACTTCGTGGGCAGGGTCGGGTGGGACCCTGCTGGCGTCGGACGCGCGGGGTCGACCCGTGGGAACGGCCGTTGTCGATCCCAGGGAGGATTGGCCGTGGCCGCTCGTTTCGGCGCTGTCTGCAGCCAGACGCGCCACTCTGTAGCCCCTGTCGAGCGCAGCGTTCAGTGTGCTCGTCGCGCCCGCCCCAGCCGTTTCCTGTTCAACTCTTCCTGGCTGAAGGCCAGTCCCATCGGCGAGGTCAACGACATGGGGGCTGGGTGCTACTGCCGTAGTGACGCCCATGTCTCCAGGGAGGGGAGCGGCGGTGTCATGGCGGCAGCCACCTAGATCGCCTGTAGCGCCGAATGCGCCAGCCGCGCGATCATCGACGCGCCCTCTCTGGTTCGGCCCCATTGGGGAGCCTAGCGCTTCCATGACTACGTCGGCGGTATCGGCCGTGCGCCCGCCGCTGGCCTGGGAGTCCGCCTGCTGGGGGAGGCCCTGAGTTGCTTCACCAGGGATGGCTGGGGGCTCGATGCGGCCGCCACTCATGGCCACGGTCCCTGCGGCGCTCTCCGCGTCCATGGGCATCGTCCCTGGTTCTCGAGCTGAAGGCTCGTCCCTTCTGCGACTGTCAGATGCGCCTTGTAGACTCGAGCTGCAGGTTCGTCCCGCCTGTGACTCCCGAGCTGAAGGCTCGTTTATGTTTGTACAGCTGCGGGGAGGGGCCAGCCACAAGAGGGGGTCGGGCGGAGGCCTCCGACAGGAGTGCCGAGTGAAAGAGCGAAACATTTTCCACACCAGTGGGCAACCTCGCCCGAAGATCTTGCAAACACGAATCTCGAGAGATGCAAGGCGTGCACCGACTCGGGCCGATGCCCGAGCAGGCCCGCGATCTACATCACGGGGCACGCCAAGAACTAAAGTTAATCGTGATTACCCTTCACAAGGGCAGGGGGGGCGGGACCGAAAAAGCTATGAGCACATACAAAGATAAGGAGAGTACAGACGGCCCTCGACCCCGCACTCTGAGACATAAAAGATTGTTTGAAAACAATTATTTATGTTTGTACAGCTACGGGGAGGGGCCAGCCACAAGAGGGGGTCGGGCGGAGGCCTCCGACATGAGTGCCGAGTGAAAGAGCGAACCATTTTCCACACCAGTGGGCGACCTCGCCCGAAGATCCTGCAAACGCGAATCTCGAGAGATGCAAGGCGTGCACCGACTCGGGCCGATGCCCGAGCAGGCCCGCAATCTACATCACGGGGCACGCCAAGAACTAAAGTTAATCGTGATTGCCCGTCCACGCCGCATCGCAAGCATCTGGCCCGACGGGCCCTCAGCCTGCTTCCAAAATCAGCAAACCAATAGGGAGGGGGGGGAGGGAAACAAGGATAAAGCTTAAAAGACTCAGACTTACCCCCTTATGGCTAGCCCACAAGTTCCCCATTACTGACTGTGAGAGCGAGGCGGAGGGAGGAGACAGCAGCGGCGCCAACGCTTAGGTCCTGCGTCGAGCGCGTGCACGATGAGCGCTGGACGGCTTGCCCACTGGCTCAGACCTGCTCGACTGGCCCTCGTCGAAAACCTGCGCCTCGTTTTCTCTGACCCGCGCGATCTTCACAACCGGTAGCCTCGCCAGCGGGGTGTCGGACACGGGTGAGTTCATGATCGCCTCCTTCAGCTGCTTGGCCGGCTGACGCCAAAAGCTGCGGCCCGTCTCCATCGTCGTAGATGGCAATTGTGAACGGCGTCTGATGAGCGCGTGGACCTTGGTGTATCGGCTCAGCGCTGATGGGGTCTTCCAGCGCCCGCGCCTGCGGGCGTCCTCCAGTCCTCCGCCAGCCGCGACAAAGTCGGCCGCCGCGGCGTGGCGGATGCCGTGCGGAGGCCCCTTGTGCTCCAAACCCAGCTCGCCCAGCAGCTTGGCCCACGAACGCCTAAAACTGCCCTGGCTCACGGGCAGCACGAGCTCTTGGTCGGAGATGACCGAGACGAGAACCTCCATGATGGCCTTGGCGACCTTCATCTTGAGCTCGACACCCTGGCCGGATCCGGTCTTCACTTTCTCGCCGCGCTCTCGCCTTCCAAGGAGTAGTGCGACCCGCCCGCCCCTGTCGATGCTCACGTCGTTCTTCCGCAGCTGGCACCAGTCTTGCCCCCTCAACCACCCGTCCAGCTGCACGAGCGCGGCCGCGCCCTCAATGATCATGCCGCGCTCGAAGAACGCCTTGATGATGGTCCCCATCGCCTCCATCGGGATAGGCTCGCCCTCCCCGCCGAAGCCCATGCGCTCCCAACTCTTGAGTGCGCGGGCTGCGACTGGGAGGAAGTTCCTGTGGTCCTCGAAGATGTGCATGAACCCGTTGAAAAGGTAGCTCGCTTTCATGAAGCTGGCCTGCTGCACATAGCACATGTCGGCGATGTAGTCCGCCAATGCCCTGTCGCGCTCCGCCACCGTGCTGAACGGCTGTCCGGAGCGTTTCACCTCCACTCAGAAGTCCTTGACGGCCCGCTGGTACTGGATGTTGGTATTGTCGTCGACAGCGTGGATCACCAGCCTGTCGTTGTACTTCAGCGGGCCCTCGGCGGCCCTCTCCCAGGCAAGAGCTCCTCTCTGCTTGAGCGGGGGTGGCTTCGGCCCACGCGGGGCCGCCGCCGCCCGCTGCGTCGAGACGAAGAGAATCACCAATGGGAGTGTCCAGCGGTTCCTCGCCGTCGCAGCCCCCGAAGCCAGTGGAGAAGCCGCTTGGGTGTGTACCTCGTGCTGTGGCCCGCCTTCGTCTCCTCCGCCGCTCCCAGGTCGACCTGTCGAGACGGTCCGTCGGCGACGTTGACCTCGGAGGGTACCCAACGGTAATATGGACGCAGTCGGCAAACCAGCTGTACCACTCCCGCCATTCTCGCCAGGTGCAGTAGAGCCCGTGCCGAGCTTCTCCCTTTGGTCAGCACCCCGAGGCTCACCAACGAGTCCGTCATGATGAGAACTCGAGATCTCCAGGCCCTCGAAGTCCTCGACAGATGTCGCAGCAGCCCCACTATCGCCCTCAGCTCCAACACATTGTTGTGCTCCTCCCTCTGCCAGCGCCCCTGGAACAAGACCCTCCACCTCTGCTCGTCGAGCCAGCTCTCCTGTGGTGGAAGATGTTGCGCTCGGGCTCTCACGACCCGAGGCAGTCCATGACGCAGTCTCACCTGCGCGCCGTCCGGGACCCTCTCCCAGGAGGGCTCGACGCTCCTCGCAACCTGAGCGTAGGCCTCGCAGAAGAGGACGGGGCACGGGCAGGCGATCTTCGTCCACTTGGTGCCGCCCGGGCCGCTGCCCCGCAACTCGCGATGCACCAGCCCTGTCCTCGAGCAGCGTCCACGCGTACCCTGGCATCGACGCTCCATCACACAGAGGGCCCTGCAGTTGGTGACCAGGGTGGTCGGCTTC